CCTTCACCCAAAATCTTGAGATCTTGGCTCAATATATATGTAAAAGAAGACACTTACACTCACTTTCCATTCTTATTCTCCTCATCTCTTCTAGTAATATTTTTCTATTAAACATGTATGTCTATATAAACACTCTTTTTCATTTTCATGCATCCTTGATAACAATAATGAAAAGAGAACAGAGGAAAATATAAATAACAAAAACATAAAGTCTTTTTTTTCCTTCACCCAAAATCTTGAGATCTTGGCTCAATATATATGTAAAAGAAGACACTTACACTCACTTTCCATTTTTATTCTCCTCATCTCTTCTAGTAATATTTTTCTATTAAACATGTATGTCTATATAAACACTCTTTTTCATTTTCATGCATTCTTGATAACAATAATGAAAAGAGAACAGAGGAAAATATAAATAACAAAAGCATAAAGTAATGTTCTTATATAAGCAAAACATTTCAATTAACCAAAGAATTAAGTATAATAAGTTGAAAAGTCTTAAAAGTTTCAAATAAATATAATTCAAAGATAAAGATCTATCTTTACACATACAAAAGTTAGTATAATAATAAATATAATAAATGTAGAAACGGGCCAAACATAAGCATGAATTAAGAACTTAGACATTTACATTATTGCAAAAAACTTCTACGATTAACTCATATAATTACGCTAAAAAGCTACTTAAAAGCCCATTGTACTAAGTCTAAATTCTAAAATATTCAAAAGCCCAATTTACATATTTTATATGAGTATGAGGGTTTTTAGAGGAAACAATACATAATTAAACACTAATATAAGAGAAAAAATCAAAGCCCATCATACATCATAAGACATAATGTCTTTAAGGACATCTCGAACCATATACTAAAAAAATCTTTTTTACACTATAATTTGCACTATAATCCTCAAACCCTACATTATACCTAGCACTATATATAGTTTTGGTGAATAATATAACGCTAAATATAGTGTTACACTATTCATCAACACTAAATATAGTGTTGATGTTGTATTTGTACAATTTAGTCCTTTAATTTTAAACTTAGTTATGTTTTTTTTTGTTTTATACAATTATAATGTTTATATAATAAAGTTATTTGTGTTATCATATATGATAACGTTTTTTGTGTTATCTTATTTAATAAAACCCTTTTTACGAGTGTTGTTTACGAGTGTTTTGTTCATAAATATTTGATAATATACTTTATTAAACATTTGTAATAAAAATATATTTTATAAAAAAGTAATAAGTATAAGGGTTGTTTTTGTAAAATTATAAAAGTTGAATAAAGAACATACCTAGAATATTTTTTTAGTTTTAATTATAATGTAATGGGTTGGAGAAATTTATTGTTTACACTATAATTATAATTATAAGTATAATGTAAAAAAAATAGTGTTAAAGGTTACAGATGGTCTAAATAAAGGAGAAAATTAAAACTATATTTCAAATATAATTATAATCCATTACAAAACAACTTTTGTATCAATCAAATTTAGGGCTTTACAATCAATTTTAAGCCACTAAAAAAATTCCAAAGATAACAGAATTTAGGGCTTTACAATCAAATTTAAGCCACTAAAAAAACTCACATACGATTAAAAATACTATACAAGATTCACCGTATAGGTTTTTACTTAATAAGATGCATGTGAAACCATATTTTCTAAATAATTTAACTTTGCAAAAATTCCAACGAGCGGTGATGTGTTATACGTACACGCTTCTGTCTGCATGTAATTTCCTCTTTTATCAGTAAACTCATCATTGTGGTCAGGTCCACCAACCAGGGCCCCAACCACAATATTTGGGTTCGGGTCAGTGGACCCGTACCAGTTGTCATAACCCTGAGTGCACCCAATGAACCCTTTGTTTTCTCTATATGAAACAATTGAGGCACCTCTATGGTGAACCCTTTTTGGGAAGTTTGGGCCAAAGCCCACTAGATAGCTCATGTTTAATGGGTTAAAGCCCAAAATGTAATCCACTTGTGATTTTGTAAATTGGAAAAGCTCATGAGGTGTTACTTCACCTCCATGGCATTTGAGGTTTTTTTGCTCTAATTTTTGGAGTAAATTTGAGTATACGGATACCAAAAATGCCCCGGAAGATACATATTGCATGTTGTTCCATTGTCGAACGTATAGGAGGCCGCCAGGGGTAAAACGGACATTGTGTTTCGTACCGTTGTTTTTGTTTAGACATGAACAAATGTAGTATTCGGCTTTTGATTGGTATTTTTCTAATACGTCTTTGTATTTTTTGTGTTTCTCTTCGGTAAGCAACTATATAAATAAGACACGACCAAAATGTTAGAAACCATTATTTAAATGATTTGACATGATAATTACAAAAATAATCATTATATGATATAACATTTAATAAAATGATTGCTTGTCTCAGGAATTTAAAAAATGTCATAATTTTTGTAACATGTTATTTTAAAAAAAAATTCTCTAACAACAAGATAAGAAGATATATTTCAAAATTGTTCTTGAAGTTTGCAAATTATTTTAAAATTCATGAAACTATTCTTAGCTTCTTACGATTTCAAAAAATGAATTTTTAAATGTTTGCTTTATCTTTATTATAAGTGTTGCTCTTTTGCTTAAAAATCTAGTTGCAATCATGGAGTGAAACAAAATGAAGTAATCATTTACGCAAAGACTACATACCATATGGTTGTGTCTCTTAAAAGGGTCCACTTCATTCAAAATATGAGATTATTTCGGTCGGGTTTATATCAACACTAATTATTTATTAATTATTAATATATGCACTTTATGATCCATGATTATAAATATATGAGATATATAGAACTTAACTTATGATGATTACATGGTCATGTGATTATATCTTAAAATTATAATTTAATATAATGTAACAACTATTGAAAACAAGAATGTTATTGACATTCTTTCATAAGTTTGTATTTAATTATTTGTACATACTCTTCATTAAAAAAATATTTAAATAAATAAATTATCAAACAAGAGCATCCATTAGGATTTAGGGCGTCAACAACTTTTTGACTGTAATCTAGTGGCTAGTTGAGGGGCCCATATAAATTAATCAACATAAGTACATAACATGTGTTTTTTAAATAATTTTTTTTATTATGATTACATATTTGTCATTGACACTAAAAAAAACCTAGGGATTGGTTTTTTAAATAATTTAGTGACTAGTTGTTGCATATTTTTAAAAATAGAAAGAGTATTTAAGCTTATATAAAGCAATTTAAATATGTAAAAACCGACTAAGAATCATGTCTTAAACTTAATGTAGTAAGAAATTTTTCGCTAAATTACTATCTTCACAAATAAACATTTATGTAAAACTAGAAATTATTTATACAAATTACAAAAGTCAAAGGTAAAAAAAGTACGAAGAGAATTGGTAATCATGAAAAAGTGTGTGACTGTGTAGGCATGAACATAAATAGGTGAAGCTATAACCTTAGCCACCCTCTCTACCACATTTATTTTGACATTTGGCATAGACAAAGCATCAAAAACCCATGTGCACTTTTATTTGTACTATTGATCTTCGTATATATGAATATTCTCATATGAGTGAATAAAACAATCTATTATTATTGATATTGAAATTGATTATGTAAATACAAAGTTATCTTTAGTTTTACTTTTTGTTACTTAACTAATCTTTACAAAATTTTGAATCCTAAAATGTGTAAGACGCTTACATGTCACATGGTAAAGAAAAGAATCATATTCTAAAGTCACCATTCAAATCTATGTTTTTTTATCTTTAGATTTCAATGAATTACTAGATGTGCAAAAAGTCATAAAAGGAAACCTATGAAAAGATACGGGAAATATATATATATTTGAATGTTCGAAAATGAAATCTTGGCTTATTCACCTATTTTTTAATAAATAACTAAATAAGAAGTTTGTACTAAATTTTAATAATGGTGGTTAAAAAACAGTTTGCACTTACAAAATAAAAATCATTGTTTTTTGTAAACTATAGATTTAAAAAGTGAAACTTTATTTCGCAAAAATTGCATTATTTTTCGTCTAAAGTAAAAGTAAATCAATTTCATAAAATCATATTTTTCGTAAAACAGATTGTTGTTTTATATAAAAGTTGAAATATAATATTTTTTTCAAATTTAGTTTAAATTATCCAACAAATTAATTAACCTCGTTTATGTTGAACTAATGTTAGTATGTCAATTCAAAAGAATTGACCTTTGCTAATGTCACTAAAGAACATGCTGATTTTAGGGAGTCTAATAGTACACAATAGTAAAATCAACGTCATAATCATCAAAAAAATGGAGCACAATTGACAAGTGTTGATGTGCAAGTGGACCGAAAAATGCTACTGGTGTGCGTACCTGAGATGCAAGAACTTGAATGCCGGCGAATTTAACATCCCAGCTGAATTCGGTGATGGACCACCCAACGCCACCGAAGGAATCGGCGTTATCGATCACATAACTTAAGTACCGGTGGTTGTCGGTGGCTTTGTACAACCACATCGCGGCCCACAGCAGCTCATCCTCGTGCCCACTCACTGATGTGTAGTAGTTTTTCACCACTCCAATGCTTTCATCGTATTTCCCTCTGTACTTATCCCCAAATTCGAATAACTACCAAAATTCCCAAAATCAAATCGTTATTTCCAATCCCAGGTTTCCCGAATTGTTCATATAGATGGATTTTTGAATTTTGAATTTTGAATTTTGTAATGTACCTGTTGAGCGTGATGCAATAACAAATGGGAGTAATGTGGGTTTGTTTTTCTCAACACAATGGAGGCTGCCGCCATAGCGGCGGCGGTTTCTCCGGCGAGATCTGACCCCGGATTGTTCTCGTCGATCTTGTATGCTTGTCTCGACGTCGTCATATCCTCCGGCCGTTGCCAACAGTAGTGATCGGTGTATCCGTCACCCACCTGTCATGTTATCAGTTACAGGTGAATAGTGATGTGATTAGCGCATTAGTGACTTGTACGTTACAAACAATGAAGGCGTAGGTAGTTACCTCAGCCCATAACACGTTAGGGCTGGTGTGAGCTTTGATGAAATAATCAGTTCCCCATTTGATCGCTTCCATGGCGTGTTCTAACTCTCCGGCACCGGCAATGTACTCGCTGTATTCGATGATACTCCACGACAGCATTGTGACGGTGAATGCCATCGGTAAACCGAACTTGACGTGGTCTCCGGCGTCGTAATAACCTCCGACCAAGTCTACCTGTATATCCACCGGAAAATCAACAGAATAAACAAAACCCTAACAAATTTACAAAACACGAAACAATAGCGTTAATGATGGCGACGTACGCCTTGTTCAAGGCCGTCGGTGAGGCCGGAATTATCGCGCCAGGTGACGCGTTGGTTGTACGGAAGGCGGCCGGAGCGTTGAGCTTCAAAGTATAGCAGAGATTTAGTGAGGGCGTCGGCGTAATTATGTGAAGGACTACATCTACAGGAAGCAAAAATGGAGAAGAGAGAGAGAAGAAAGCAACAATGGTGTAGAAATGATAATGACGGCTTCCTCTTTATCATCATCGTCTTCTCCATTTTTGAGATTAACAGCTCAAATTTAAAAATCAAATCGATATTCTATCAGACTCTTCCCTCCTAAAGAGATTTTAGGAGCGAAGAAGGGAGAGAATTATGAGCCTCTGTGTGGCTGTGTTCATTTTATAAAGTGGCAAAAAAATATCAAAAAATTCATGAGATGCATAAAAAACGGTTTTAAATAATGTTACCGTTTTTTAAAAATTTTAACTTTTACTTATTTAACAAGGCAAATTGTTCAATTAAATAATTTTATATTCAGTTACTTATCATTTTATAAACGGTTTAACAAAATGTTTATAGGTATGTAATAAGTTTATAATTAGATTTTATATATATATATATATATATATATATATATATATATATATATATATATATATAGTCAAGTTAGAAAAAATACTCAAAATTTTGAGAAACCAAAGAACTTAATTCATTATGATCTTCGGATCAAATTCATTCATGGATCCTGCAAACCTTGATCGTCAGATCAATTTGTTTCATAGGCCGTAATATAATTTTTTTGGTCTCTAGCAATCTTAATATTTGATTGGACCCGATTTTATAATAAACACTAAAAACCATCTATCTATTAATAGATTAAATTGGTAGCATAAAGATTGTTTATCTTCATGCATCTATTTTATACATGGTCATATGAAATAAAAATTATGCATTGAAGTAGCCATTTGTATAAGTTATTTTTAGTGTTAAATTTTGGAGAAAATATGCTAAGGTCAATAATGTGCCATATAGATCTTCCGTTATTGTTTTAGGGATGCATTTGAAACTGCTACACTTACGTAACAAACAACGTACAAAAATGATTGATAAAACTCCATTTAAGATATGGTTGGTAGTGTGGAACACTCTAATCATTTAAAAACCTTTTAAAGCACTTTTAAAATAGATAAAATATTGTTTTGTGAAATTATGTCCTAAAGTTTCGGTTGTTATCATAATAAAAGTTTTAAAATAGTATAAAAGGAGGGTAACAATTATAACCTCTTAACACAAGATAAGTAACATCTATATGACATTGGTCTTCAAAATATCACATATTCTTTTAAGGGCGTGTTTCGGTGTTTGACAAAACTAACTGTTAGTCGGTAGCTGACAGCTGCAAACTAAAAGTTGTAGCTTTTATTATATAAATATTTGACAAAAATAATTGGAAACTTTTGAAAAATATAAAATTACAAAAATTGGTATTAATCTAAAAGCTAAATGTGGAACATAATTAATAAAAATGACAATTCTACAAATTGATTAAAAAGCTCAATTTTTTTTTTTAATGCTACATGAAATAGCTTTTGAATTTGAAGCATTTGGTTTAAACAAAAACCTAAAAATTCATACTGTCAAACAAAGTTTTTTTGTTGAAATTAAATGTTTTGTCAAAAGCTGAAAGATAGAAGCTCCCAAACGTTTCTTGTCAAACACGTCTTAAGTCTCAAACACTACTTAAATCTGAATAAATGTCAAAATAACAAGTTAGACATTGAAATGATTAGTATCAAGACCGACACATCTCAAGGGTAAAGAAATTTTTTTGCAATCCATTGCCCAATCGAAAGTCCTCAAAACATTTAGAAAAAAATCCTTTACATGTACAGTTAACTCTTTTCTCTTTGAAATATCTTAAATCTTTGTAAAATAATCTTACTCTTTCGATATCAAAGCCTTTAAAAAAGTTTTACTCTTTTATACAATTTACACTTGTAAAACATCTTAGAAAAACAACTTAACTCTTAAAACACTTTTAATCGATCTTGTCCGAAACATAACACTATTCACATGTTTAACCCTTAAACACTTTAATGGATCTTGTCCAACACCTTACACCTTTCACATACTATTTACTCTTTTTCTTTTTGAAACACTTTGATATTTATTAAACATTTAAGCATTATTTCAAATAGAAGAATGCAATGCAAGATGCTTATATCCCCTTTTCTCGTTTATTTTTTTTTTTGGTCCATCTCATGCTTTTTGGTTCATGTTTGATAGCAATGGTGTGACATCCACTAGTTTTCAGAACCAATTAAAACTTTTTATTTACACTTTAAAATCATTTTATTGATAATTGCGGAAAATCCCAGTGCAAAAGATCATTTTGAGTACAATTGTTTGTTTCAAAATGTTAAAACCCTAAGGATGTCATAATCAATATAGAAACATATGTTATAACGCAAAGACCTGATGGTCCTGAATACTATTGCAGACTGCCTCTTAATCACTCAGCATCCTAATTAAGTTTCTGAAGCTTAAGTCTTGATAAATGTGATGCATATAAACTGAGTGGGTTAGGTTTGGGAAACCTGGTGAGATACATAGAGATTTTGATCCCATGATATTGTTATGATAATATTTCCTTAATTATCATACCTGCAAAATCAACCGTTACCAAACAATATTCATATAGCCTTGCATTCATACATATTCACTCATACCAATCCTTACAGATCCTAATCCATAATTACCAATGAGAAAATATCTCTCTTGATAAATCGTTTAGAGCAAGGGTTGACTACACAACCAGGGGCTTCATTGGCCAGTGTAAGTCATAAGGTATACGAGCCTATTCAGAGTATTTGATGAATATGGTATCCCACTTCATCTACGTCTATACGTTATAAACCCACACTAGCAACGTAATTCACAAGACCATCTACAATGATCTAGTGTTGTCACCTACTCTCGGAGATGACCAGGCATACCGTTATAGTTGCTTGATCTGTATAAGAGAAGTAATTGGAATGAATGATTTAAATTGAGATGACCAAGTTTATGATGCCAGGTGTTGGCTTTATTCGATTGTGCATGAAAAACAATGGCTTGATTTTTTGGCTCGAAGCTCATAAACTCCACGACTAGCTGTCCGCGGAGGAGGGTTTGTTTGGTTTTGAAGTCCTTGATAAAGAAATGAAAAGAGAAAAATAAGATCAGTATTTGATTATCAATGCACAATTGTGAAATTGAAATTATGTTTTTAGAGATTGAGGGAACACAAAGAACATTAGTAAGTTTAAAAAAAGTGGTTTGATAATGGAGTAATAAAGAGCCAATATTAGTGATAGTAAGTGACGAACCATCACCAATGACGAGTTCATCATTGCCGTAATATGGAGCATGAAGTGAAAGAGCATTGAGGTCGTTAGTGATGTGATGTGAGGCACCACTGTCAAATAGCCAACTGGGGTTGTGATTGATATCGGTGGTCATAACGTTTTCTTGCGGGTTGTTCTTTGGTAGTGGTGGTAAGGTGATTTGTGGATGTTTGTTTTTGAAGGCGTAACAAGAGGTGGGGGAGTGCCCTTTAGTGAAACAGTACTGACATTTACCTAGAAACGAACGAGGTGCACCAATAGGAGTGGGGAGGATGGGTGAGGTATTGTTTTGGATTCGATTGTTCCATGTTGTGTTTTGTGGTCGTTTGTTAGCAGCAAAGGTTGTTATAGGGTGATGGATATTGGTGATGGTAAGGGATTGTTGAGCCAAAGAGAGTTCATGATTAATGAGTTTTTCATGTAACTCATTGAATGAAATAGGGTTATCTCTGGCATGAACAACATCAATGATTGTTTTGTAGGAGGTGTAGTCCAGGCCGTTTAAGACTGCATCAATTATGTCTTCTGTGTCAAGCTTCTTGCCTAGGATATTGAGTTCATCGACTATGGTTTTGACAGATTGAATGTAGTATGTGATGGATTGATCAGAGTTTTTGGAGGATTGTTTGAGGCGGTATTGGAGTTGCTTAATGTGACCACGGGAGGGGTTTGCATATGTGTTGGATAAGATGGTCCAGGCTTCTAAGGAAGAGAAAGCATTGGTTATGAGAGGGACAATAGCAGGACATAGAGTGCCGACAAGTGCACCAAATAGGAGTCGGTCTTGGCGAAACTAGGTTGAATAGTCGGGATGTGGGATGGAGACGCCATCAGTAACGGTTGGTGATGGTGAGGTGTGGGTACCATCGATAAATTTGTAAAGATCCAGACCCTGCAATAAAGCTTCAACTTGAGTTTTCCAGCTCATATAATTGGTGGATGATAGTTTCAGAGAAGAGGGGAAGTAAACAAGCATGAGAGATGATGTTTTGATTGGAAGGGTATGGGTGACAGATGATGGAGTTGCTTCACCTTCGAGAACAGAGGTGACTGATGGGGTGGAGCTAGCTTCGGTACCCATGAGAAAAGAAAGAGGTGGCCAGAAAATTTGATTTAGGGTTTCCTGGATGATACCATATAAGAGAAGTAATTGGAATGAATGATTTACATTGAGAATCAATTGAAGATATATACATGTACAGATCCTAACTATTAGGAACATTACAACAGAAAGAATAGACTATTTCTAATAGACTAAGTCTGTGTTTATCTACAATTCAGATAGGAAAGGAAATTATACAAATATAAAAAGAAAATGTATTATGCACGTGTATGTGCGTTGATAATCCGGACCCACCATTTCTGATCATCCAAGGGGAATACTATAATTTACTCCCATACGGAGCTACCGTACATCGATACCAGAACATGATTCTACTCCCCGCCCCTATCTTACGCATATTTTTCTGAATGAGACCACCTAATGTCAAACTTAATTGTACTAGGTGTCCTTCACAAATATAAGTTTATGCATAAACAAGATTTTAATAACTATAACTAGCTTCCAATACAAATTTCGTTCTTAGGCAACACTAACCTATCTTAAGTGTATATGTGTTCCATACAGAGTATTAGGTATTATTATTCATTTATTATTCCAACAATAATACTTCTAATATATAATATTATCTATTCGTCCTAACATAAAATAGAACTATATCTAATTCGCACATAACATATTATATACATATATATCTAACATATATTTCAGGAAATAAACGCATAGTTCACATACAACTTCGAACGGGTATTTGATACTTTAAATAATACTTGTATTAGATCATGCTCACGAAAGGGACTATGCACTCACCTGATAAAAGTGGGTGACTG